AGCCACAGGACCTGGGCACCTTGCAGTTATTGAGTTGACCATGAATGCCAAAGTATTCAAGGGTCTAATGTGAGGCCATCTGGGCAACAGCACAGCAACAAATCTACAACAGCATAGCTAAGAAGGAATCAAGGTGTTGCAATGCCCAGATCTGAGACTTATTGAAATGGACCTTAAGAGATTCGTGCATTAGTCACTGTTGTAAAGAAGAGTGAAGCAAAATTCCACCACAATGATGTGAGCGACTGATAAAGTGAATCAGGAAACAATTACTTCAAGTTAGTGCTAAACCTGCTTCCACAAGCTACTGAATGACGGTGTGTACTTAGTTCTTCCACACACTCGTCATGCGTTTATTCCATCCATCCATCTTCTTCCGCTTATCCGGGGCTGGGGCTGGGGTCGCGGGGGCAGAGCCTAAGCACAGAAGCCCAGACCTCCATCTTCTCAGCCACCTCCTCCAGCTTGTCCGGGGGAACATGAAGGCATTCCCAGTCCAGCCAAGAGATATAATCTCTCCAGCGTGTCCTCGGTCTGCATTTATTTATTTGTAAGGATGTCCCGGTATGTAAAACCTTAGAACTGAAAAACTGTGTCTGTATACTGTTAGAGTTGTGGCTGATCACATTAACACGCGATTTTCTACTGTTGGCTCAGAGAAATCCAAAATATGGTTTCTTTCTTTTTTTTTATGCATTCTTGGCAAATTGATTTAGCGTTTAACTACCATGGAATTTATTTATTTGACCTGTTTTATGACTAAACACTGAAATAACTGTGCTTTTCTTTAGATCTATTTCTGATGCTACATATAATATGCTTTCTACTTATTGTTAGAGTTTCTAATGTTTTTTTTTATTTTTTTATCTTAAACAGTTGCATTACTGGAGCTTGCTGTGTTTGCATTCATGTATATTTTCCTTCAACGAGCAGAAAAACACGTTGCATAAGAGACAGAATAAACAGATATAAACAACACAATGATCTGAAGGGAGATCGAACCACGAAGACAGAACATGCTCGATATAGGAGATGTTACACTCATGCTAGTCATAATCTCAGGAAATGCTTGAAAAGATTGAAAACGACTGCTGTGGGAAGGAAAGGCTGCAGCTATCAGTACAAATCCTTGCTGTCAGACAACTTCTGCCACAGCCATTTGGTTTCAGACATGAAAAATATTGTGTTGTCTGGGCTGTGAACCGTTGAGCTAAACTTAGTTATGACTCCAGTCTACCTCCCCTGAAGTTTCATTCTCAGGATGCCAGAGGAAGGCAGAGTTAGGGAGGGGACGCAGCACGAGAAGTCCAGGCTTCTTATTTATATTTCCTCAAACATGGATAGCAGCTCATGAGAGGGATCAGCACAAAAATTAAGCTAAAAGCTCCTTTAATAAGCCGTGGATGAGCATTGAAGGAACAGACTGAGAAATGTTAACTAAAAGCTTTTCATTTCACACAGACTTAAAGGTGGAATTTAAATCCAATATACAAACCTAATAGTTAATCTCCAAAAGTTGATTCTGTTTATCTGGACGTAGCGTTTTGTGGGAGAAACGTTTCGTCACTCATCCAAGTGACTTCTTCAGTCTGGATAATAGTTAATAGTTAATAGTTCATTTCCTGCCTTGGTCAGCTCTGTGCCATCTCAGCCTCTTGCTAAATTACAGTTTAATAGACTCAATGCCAATCTTGTTGCTGTGTGTACCCTCAAACATCTGATTAAACCGACACATTTGCTTTGAAAAATCAAAACTCGATCTTTTTTTTTTTTTTTTTTTTTAAACACGACTGTCAGTCAAAAATCGAATTACTAATGGAGACATGGCACTCAGTAGATGAGACTTATAGCAGTTCAAAAAACAGACGATGCCAATTTTTTTTATACACAACAAGGAGGTTGTGGAAGCTGGAGGGGATCCACTGAAAAACAACAAGTGGTGCACAAACAAAAGAGCACGCTGTAATGTGCATGCGTGAGTCCACATGGCCAGCAGCATGACTGGATGCAAACAATCCCTCACCATGGTGACGCAGCTCAGGCTTTGTCCCGACCTTACACAGCTGACCGGAGTGATTGGAGGGTACGGTCTGGGAAAGTAGACCACACAATCGGCAACAATTAAGAAGCAGTCCGTGCTTTCCTGTCACTTCCTCTTTGTTTCCTATGAATGTGGGCTGCGAGAAAACATGGAGGTGTGCTCTGCAGTGGGGGTTCTTGTTGGAGATGTAGTGGAGTTTTGCTGGAACACCTCAGAGTTGGCCTTATGGTGGATATTGTCTAGTTTTAGCTGGAGTGGTCATGCCAAACAGATAAACTCTATCCTCTATGTTAAGAGGTCAATGGCCTGCATACAATTTAAAAACTTACTCCTAATAAAAATGTCCAGGCTCTATGAGCTTGCTAAAATCACTGGATAAAAGAAATCTTCTGCTGAGAGTTTTTACTTCACAATTGTGTAAGCTGCCTAAAATGATCCACAATGACTCCCAAACTAGTTGTGAGACTACAATAGTAGCTCACAGACACATAGCTTTAGCTCAGATTTTAGCTGTGTTAGTTAGCTCATTCAAAGCTCAACGTCAGAAGGTTACTAATGTTCAGATGATCAACCCTCTGGCACCTAAAACTTCCCTACTAATATCTTGCCACAGTTGTAAAGACTAAAGCCTGCAGCTGTCATACAGTGACCCACATTTGCATCCAATTTAGCAATTTAGAATGAACAATTAAGCTAATGTGCATGTCTTTGGATTGTTGGAGAAAACCCACGCAATCACAGGTAGAACATGCAAACTTCATGCAAGAAATGTACCAGCCAACCATATTCAAACCCAAGATCTTCTCGCTTTGAACAACAGGAAGGCTAAAATGCTAACGTCAGCAGGTAATCCAAATATAAACCCTAAATGAAATTACATTTTGACCTCTGTGCTCACACAAGATGTCACTGTTCTTGATGGAACATCCTGGAGGTTCACAGGCCCTTCAATACAGCAATAAACTCATGACTCTGCTTTTAAGTTGGCACACAGCCTTCATATTATACACCAATTTCCCACTCCCCCTGCCTGTTTCTCTTTACTTATATACTAATATAATGTAATGCTTTTAAGAGTCCATGAGAACACAGCGGTCCTCCTAAAACTGATGATGCATATTGCAATCTATAAATGAAACCTCCACCTTCTAGCCTCCTGTGCAGCTTAATGCTGCACAGGAGGCTTGATGTGGAGATTACCTCCACATCAATTTTGTCAGCTGAAGACAGTGAGATGGCTGCATATTCAGCAAAAGCTTGCATAAGCTGAGTGAAAAGCTTGAGAACAGCTTTGCAATCAGATACTATCAATCATCTATTGTGTCATAAACAGTGTAAGAGTTCCCTGTTATTAAGCAAGTGGTATTCACACAAATGCAACATGCAGTCCTTTGTGGGTAACAATTTAAAGGCATCTGCAGGTTTTTGTCACAACTGCTGGTGTCATGGGTAACAAAGCAGTGTACTCACATTCACACTTCAGCTGTATCACTGGATGTTATTATTTTTTACTGTTACAGGAAAAAAAAAATCACTATGTTGAAGCAGAGTGACCAAAGTGCCCTCTTGCAGTTTCAAAAGTTAAAACTAATCAGCTTGCTGAAGACAATAAGCCTTTAACCCGGTAAGACCTGCAGCTTAACTGACCGCAAGGTGCTGGGAGGGGGAGTCTGCTGAAAGATAAACTGGACTGGATTTACACTGCAAAGTCTGTTACGAGTCTTCCCACTTGGGTAGCATGGTTCTGACATCTCAGGCAAATGCAGACACAGTGTGAATGAATATCAATAATGCAAAAATATTGGTGCTTAGCTGGCATGGGAACTTGTGTGAACGGGGAGATTTTTTTTTGGTCAGGATCTCTTTGTCTTATGATGGTAAACTGAATCCGTGGACAAAATTGTAGCTTTTAAGTAGATGTGGGCAGATTGATCCAAATATTGAAAGTATCCATACCAATGCTGGTATTGGTATTGGATCTATACTGTTTACATTGCAGGTCTTCAAAAAAGAAAAGAAAAAACTGTTTCAAAATACATGAAAAGCTGAAAGGTGTGTTTTGTTAACTAAGTATAGTGGAAAGTAAAAGTCACAGTCATTTAGTAATCATTAAAATGTATTCATTTTGTAAACTGATGATGATTGATCTTATAAATCACGAACCACTACTCTTCCCTATATAAGCTGCCTTTATAGGCTAAAAGTATTGTATCAGTATAAATACTCTGTATCTGATCATACCAAAAGTTGCAATATGGCACTACTTTTTAGAAATAATGACAGGAATTTTTAAAAAATAATAATAATTACTGACACACTGAAAAAGGCTCAAGATTCACTGATAATGAAGATATCTGTAACAGTTTCTCAAAAGGTTTAACCGTTACCAATATATCAGGAAACAACAGTTTAGTAGCAGAGTATACTTCTCAGAGCAAAGTATTCCTACTACAAACAGTTTACCCTTGCGTCCGCCACACGTGTGCTTCAAGGACTTCTTCCTGTGTGCTGTAGCTGCATGACTCAGTTGAAGGAACTTGATTAAAAAAACCACTGCTGAGTGCACGCTTACAGCCCAACTCTATAAATTGCATTGCAGGGCTCAGCAGACAGATCCCACTCACGCACTGACCACTAACTCACTTCCTGGATGGCTCATGGATCTGGTATTTTGTGTCAGGAACACTGACCGAGGATGTGGGTTAGATTTCTTTGAAAGGGAGGACGAGAAGGGCGTGAATAAATCTGTCAAATAAAGTTACGCAACTGCAGTTGATCGGTCATTTTAGTCTCTCTTCTGCGTTTGTCCTCCTCACAGGGTTTAACACAAAACTGCCAACAGTGAACTTATTAGCCCATAACAGTCTACAAGCTTGTCTAAAGGACAGCAGCTTTTAAATGTTGGCGTGACTGACGCATTCACTGCGTTCAATCCAGTGCAACAAACACGACAACATACCTCTTTCCAGCCGCAGCTCACTGTGTCTTAGACGATTAAGAACTCTCTTGTTCTGTAGCCACCGAATATATCTCTGGGATAAAATCCAGTACTTTCTTCGTCATGGTATGCGGGCCACTTGAGGGAGATCCCTGTTTATTCTGTGCCGATCGGCGCCTGCATCACAGTTAACGGTGTGCGCGCATCCCCGCCTCTTCTAGAAACCGAGTGGATGTAAACACGAGTCCGTCCAGTCATCGGACATCCTACAAGGGGGCTTGTAGGCTTGCTATCAGTGAAGGAGACCTCACGTGTAAATCACGATCGGAACAGAACTAGGACACCGCAAGGCATGACGGACCGGTTAAAGCTGCACCGCACTGGCGACGCAAATGGACCGAGACCCGCGCAGTTACACGGAGGGTTCTGATGGAAATAACAGGCTTTGCACGTGTTTATAGTGCTGAACAAACCCTTAGCGTTACACATCTGCAGCATATGTTTACATGAAGCCCCGTATTTGCATGACAGCAGCTTGTAAAGCCCAAAACAGACTAAAAATGCCTTAATCAAAATAAAAAGTGGAGTGACTTTACTAAATGGCATTGTAGAAGGTAAAGAAAAAAATAAATAATAACATAAAATGACACTGAAATATATTTAACAATACACTGAAGAGCAACATGTGCTAGTACAACTATGTAGTTTTAATCCTTGGTCCCCTCCAGCAGTACTTGAAGACTTAAAACAGTCTGCTTTTAATGCCTGCGTGCCTGCCTGTGATAAAAAAAACAAAACTGATTGTCTTACATTGAAATGTAATGTAGGCTTTCCTGCAGAGCAGAGATCAAGATCGAGAACCAGGTTTTAGTGCACTTATTAAATTCAATTCTATTGGACAAGCACAAGGTACAGTTTTTTGTGTAGGTTTGGTTAATGTATGCCTATACATATTGACCTTGAACACTGACCTTGATATACCAGGTGCACTGCTCCTGCTTTAGTTGGAACAATTTTCAGAGGCTCAAATGTTCAAGATTAAAAACCACTAAACCAGTACGGCTGTTATGTTTAGCTCCCCATGCAAGTCTTGCCTTTGCTTATCTTTGACGTATAATTGATCTCCACCGTGCCAAAACAACAACCTGCATGTCAGCTCAGGGAAGAAGCTGGAGTCACAGCAAGACTAGTAAGTAAGGTGTGTGAAGGTCAAAGGTTGTGTTTGTGTACGCCAAATAAAGTAGGTGGGTGCACAATGGCATGAACTACAGTTCAGACCTTATCTGCCAACACTTTTCCTTCAAGAGCAGAACTCTGTATTGCATACATTAGCCTGGGTGACAGATTTATGGTGCACAATGAGCGTTAGAAAATAAGCAGAATGCTCCCAGCCTTTTGGCTTGGACACTGTGGGCAATTCCACTGAAAACAGTCGTTTGGTCTGTGGTTTGGAGATCCGGCTCTCATGACCAGTAAAAATCCTCAGTATGAAGTTCACATCAGCTTGACACTGAAGTCTGTACAAGTTTGACATCCTTTCCTTTCAAATACTTGAATGGGAGTTTGGCCATATTTAAATCATGTACAATTTTGCTTCTTTTAAGCAGAACTCCTGATAAAACAAACAGCTTTTTAAATCTCAAACTCTGCACATGCACATTGAATGTTAGGTGTGTGCAAAAATGCACGTGCAGGGGGCTTAACAAAAATGTTTGAGTATCTTAAGAAGAATCAACCTCCTTAATGTATCGTTCCCATAATTGTATTAATGTTCTAAACATAACTGATTTGAAGTACGTCACTACTGAAATTAACTTATTAAATTTAAAAAAGAAACATAATTTCAAAGCACATATTTAAAGTATACTTTTATTTAATTGCCAAATAAATGATTGACTTATATATTTTAATCAGTTTAGAGGCTGTCCCACATTGTCAGATGATCTGGAATGACTATCTCAAATATCATGTTGCAAATGTCACACATGTATGTAAAAGTAGAAAGGAGGCAGAGCCTACAGGCCCCTCTTCTGTGGGGCCAGCTTCCAGTTTGTCAAAAAAGACACGTTTTAGGCACGATGGTAAAGGCAGAGAGGGTGTCTGTCTCCCCAGTCCAAAGCATATAGTTTGGGATATGCTCCCCCTCCCTCAGCCGGTTTCTGCTGGAGCTTGCTTCCTATTAACAGGGAGTTTTTCCCTTCCCACATGTCGCCAAAGCACTCGCTCATAGGTGGTGGTGATGGTGATTAGGGACAGGTGTAATATGACTGTTGGGGCTGTCTCTGTTTTCTGTGGATAATTGTATGGCTGTACTTTACAACAGAAAGCACCTTCAGGCAACTGTTGTTGTGATTTGCCTCTTTATACACAACACAAGCGCCAGTCTTTCGGCTCACAATGCACAAACTACAGGCGCAACATTAGAGACGAAGTTCTGGTTGCTCATGACCCATGACTCCTTTACTCAAGTGTGCTGTGCGTGGCTGTGGAGGCGCTCTGTAAGCTGTGGAACGGGAAAAAAAATCCAGTGAAAAGTCCCACATTTATGCATCCCTTCTCAGTTTTCAGTGGGCCAGACTGGAATCTGTGATGGGCCTGTTCTGGCCCCTGGGTCTGATGTTTGACTCTCTGGTCTAACTTGTCATGAATGCGGCAGAGTTCGTTACACTGCCTTCCCACTGTTGTCAGAAGAACGTCAACTCTCTGCATTTTTTTTTTTGTTGTTGTTTTTGTTGTTATGTTTTTGTTTCCTTTGCCTTCTCTTTGCAAACTGTGTGTCTAAGTGTGTGTAAGTGTGTGAGAGAGAGATCAGTGGTTACAATAGGTATTCCCTCACAGGTCACCGTGGCTTTGGAATTACGGCAGACTGGGGCACATTGAAGTAGAACGTGGCAGACAGCTAACAAGAGGACTGAGCTTTCAGATTGGTTGTTGGTGATTTTAGTCAAAGGAAGGCAAATACAGTCAGAGCTCAGGAAAACATGGCCATGCTGATTCCGATACTTTGGGAGGTCATTTCAGTCCATGCAATCCCATATTCACCTGCAAGGGGAGGAAAGCCCGTAAGGCGCACGGATGGGATAGGGTTGGGTCTCGCGGGCTCCCCCTGTATTTGTGTGTGTGTGTGTGTGTGTGTGTGTGTGTGTGTGTGTCTATATAGTGAGACAGAAGAACCAATCCAATTCACAGGGTAGACATCCAGCAGACGGCTTAAATGACTTTGTAGCAACACGGAGGCGAGCCCTGGTACCACTGGAAACCCCTGCACATGCAAAC